ATATGCTTCGTTGATCTGATTGGTTTATTTGGCCCGTCTATCACCAACATAGGCCAATCAGCTAACCAGTATTTTCGCTCCTTCCCAAAATTACTTCAACGGAAGGTTTCCAGATGGATATGCGGAGCAAATCCATCTGGCGGAGTCAGGTTAATTCCATAGGGCGCGCAGAGAAAAGCAAGGACTTCCAACAGTGACACACTAGACTTACTGAACTCTGGGATTGGGGCAAAAATTCTATCTTCAAATCTGTTTAGGGTGAATTTTATTCCAAGGTGATACAGAAAAAATGTACTGCTCTGAGCTTGCATACTAAGGTATACAAATATGATGTATTGTGACAGGTCAGATTTTGATGCTGGGCCAAGCCCACATTCTTTGATGTAGAAAAATTCCTTTGACAACTTTTGATCCACAATGGTTTAAGTCAATATAGAGCGAATCTGAAGTCTGTAACTCAAAAGCTCTAGGAGGAGTTCGCTCAAATAGGGAGGCAATAAAGTGCAAAATCACAGTGAAAATTTTTAACTTTAATCCAAAATGGCCGACTTCCTGTGGGGTTTGGACCTGAGCTCCAAAATGCTTTTTTTGTGTCCTGTTGGGTTATACATGTGTACCAAATTTCATAAACCTCACTAAACGCTTGGCCTGGGGCTGTTTTGTTTTTTTATGGCAGGAATTAAGACCTACAGAATTAATTCCACTTAAACTTTTTCCAATCTAATCACATTACAGGATGGACAATTTCCAAAGCTTTATGCAAATAAATGAAAATTGGACCTGATCCTGATTGTCAAACACTCTATCGTTGCTGAGGCTGTATGTGTTGGAATGTTGTTCTAAAGTTAGTGAGAATAAAAAATGAAATAAAAAATCTGTTACATTAAATGCTGATCAGGGGAATTAAAGATTTTTGCTGCAACATAACAGAGTGATAAAACTCAGAGAGAATAAAGATCATCCAGGTTTTGCTGACCTTAGATCCAACTGTGGCTCTATTACAGTACAGTTTGGCATTAGTCTTGATGTTGTTTGGGTCTATTGTTAGGGCCTCTGAGTACAAATCATAAGCTGCCTCGAAGCTTCCCTCCTTGAACGCCTTGTTTCCTTCTTCCTTCTTGGCTTTCAGTGCTTTGGCGTTCTGGGAAGAAAAACCACATTAGCAGCTATAAAAACCATGCACAGATATCATGGTGTGAAATTTAAAATATTGACGATGTTACTCTTTTTTTATTAAAACAGATAATGATTATGATGCTCACTCTAC